TGTCCGGAGAAGGGGAAAAAATTCTCTTGACATCGATTTCCAGGACGTGTTTCATAAATAAGAGTGTAGCTGTAGTTATAAGATGAACTTTAATTGTACAACTAAATTCCTTCAATTCCTGGCGTATGCAGAGCAAACAATTTCTAGAAATGAAAATAGTTCGGGATGGGATACGATTTATTTCATCGTATGCTCCTCTGAGATGAAACCACGAACCCACATGACTCATTCAAAACGTGATCAAAAGATAAACGAATGTTAACCTTGGAATTCTTGCACATGTCTCCGATGCACAGGCAATAGCATTCAGCTTACCACACCAAGCAACAGCACTGAAAAAAGAAAACCAGCAGAGAAGGATTAAATTGAAGCTCCCTGAAGTAACTTAAATCCTATAAGATAAAACTTGAAGCATAAACCCACCGAATTGAGAAACTAGTAAATGGGAGCAATTGCACCCAATTCTCCACGTGCCATAACCATTTGACTATTTACCATAAAAAATCAAACAAAAAAAATGGGCACCAAAAGCACGAAGTGCATACCCAATTTACACCTCAACGCAACAATCATACAATTCCAAGCACGTATCAACACCTAGCTCAACTCGCTGAGCATGAATATCCAAAGACCATAAAATAAACAGCAGCTAAAAGTTAAAACCCAAGAAGCAAAACTAACCTAAAATTGCGACAGAGCTCAGGAACACTCATTTTGTACTGCAAATTGGATCTTGGCTGCTTGAGCTTGATTCGAAAAACAGTAGCCGGACTGATCAAGTCCTCGTCCATTGGATCTTCGGGTTTCTCCATAACCTGCTCCTCAACAGCCACAACTTCAGTTTTGTCGGACCCTTTGGGAAGCTCCAAAGGCTGAACCAGGGGTTCTTCCTCCCCTTCCGTAGCGTTGGAAACTTGACTCATTGAAAAGACGACAACCCTAATTTATATAGAAAGAGAGAGAGAGAGGACGTAAGTGGTGGAAAGTCGCAATTGAGGATGACAGGTATCACTGTTGAGAGAGTAGTGGGGTTAATGTGGGTGGCTTTCGATTTGGCTTTTTTAAAATTTTGGTGGGTGCCTTTGATTTTCTGCTTTGTGCTTAGGGTTTGGCGTTGGCCGAGCATTCACACAGCAGCAGATTCCCCATTCCAGTACCTTCACCGCCCCCCTTCGCTCTTCTCCCTTCGCCCTTCGCCCTCGTCCTTGCTCAATAATATAAACAAACCTCTTATGAAAATGCAAATGCCTGCTGCTCTTTCAGCTTCAAGTGCAGTCAACCCGAGAACAAATACTTTCCCACGCTTTGTTTCCATTTTTCTTTTTTCTTTTTTTTAATAAAATTAATTATTAAAAATTGAGTCTTCAAAAAAAAAATCTGTTAATATCCATTTACTTTTATTTAGGCATTTTTAATCTTATCATAATTGTATTTTAAAGTAAATCAAGGCATTTAAATATTTTTAATCTTAAAATATATTTATAAGAACTATTTTCATATTTCTATACTCCAATCTAAAAAATGTATCATTCTCTGGCTGTCGTAAAGAGTTCAAAGCATTAATAACCATTCATTCCTAGATTTGAATCTTCAACGTTATCGCTAATTTTTTAAAGCTATTAAACCTATTTGACTAGTTATTTGGTACACTAAGGGGAAATCTATTATTAATAGGACTAGGCTGTTGTGTGTCACGGTCACACTTGTTCAAGTCGTGTTGTTTATAACTGCATGTCAAATGTACCGGTCATGCTTATCCAGGACGTGTTATCCATGACTGCACACCCGTTCTAAAATCATTTTTACTTTCATCATAGATAAGTTTTTACTATTTCATGTCGTGTCACTTATTTCTACCTGAATTATATGTTATCAAAGTGATTGTTGATGAATTATAACTTTGTTTTCTTTCAAATTATTTTCTAACATTTTTTAAAACATTTCTCTCCAATATGACTTGAACTTCGAGCATAGGTCGACGTTGTCTACGAACTTTGAATTTTTCACGACTGACTTATTCGTCGAATTAGAATAAGTGTTGCACAATCGTTGTCCCGTTACCACAAGAATGCGATTGTGACACTACATTTTATCGAGTGGGTTGCACACCTCGATGATACGGCTCGAGTGAGTTGCATAACCGTACAAAGGGTCCAACCTCCTCTACGGACCTTTAACTAAATATAATTAACTGAAAAAAGAAGCATATGCTTCTTGGACAGTTTCTTCACCGGCAAACGGTCAAAGAAGCCCCCACCATACCCCAAAATTCAAATGGGCAGCCAATTGGAGAAGGAATTTGGTGTCCAAAAGCACATGGATGTGTTCAATGGAAAAGGCCCATTTTTTTTCTCTTTTGTAATATTTTATTTTTTAACAGATTTACATGTTCAAAAATATATTAAACAACCTAGCAAAATATTAAATAAAACATTAAAAATAAAAATACTCTATACTACCTCAAGGCAAAGAAAATAAAATACCGTCGTCAACCGTACAAGAGTGTCTTGTCTTTACTTGAAATAGAGGTAGCAAATAGCTCGAGTCTTTTAAAAAATATTCATTAAGCGACCCTGCCCTACTGGGATTAGGACAAATACATGCAAACACAACACATCCAGTGGTTTTCAACGACAAACAAGAAGTATAAATCAGAGTTATGCGAAGAACTTTCTTGGCGGGAGCAGGGGCAGAAGTCTGGCTCAAAACCAATATGCCAAGTTTGCAAAAAGGCTGGACACACGGCTGCAGTGTGTTATCGTCGCTTGGAACGTGGCCTCTAAAAATTCAGCTGCTTCCACATCCAACAGCCAGACCATGGTCCCAACCCAACCCAACCCAACAACCAAGTTTACAAAAAGGCTTTTTGCATGCTTTCTAAGATTGTTTTCTTCTGTCAGTACTCGTGTTCTTCAGATGTTAATAATGAAGGCATTTAAGAATTGAGCTGATATCAGTTATCTGACCAACTTAATAATGTGTAATTTGAGTTCGTTTGAGTTTGAACTAGCTATTAAGCTTCTGGAATCAACTCCTTGGAAGCTTAGCTTCAAATTAGCCAAACATCAGACGTTGAAATAAGGAGTGGAGTACAAGTTGCAATAATGAAACTATAACGGCCCAAGTTTACCGCTAGTAAATATTGTCTTCTTTGAGCTTTTCCTCTCGAATTTTTCCTCAAGGTTTTTAAAACGCGTTTTGATATGAACCAAGAGACATCAATTATAAAATATACTTCAATGAAGATGTGAAGAAAAGGTTGTCAAAATTATCAAAAGATGTTTCAATTCATGCCACGTTGAGGAAGAATGAAGTTTGATTGTTATAAATTTTGGGTGGGTTACAAGTGAGAGTTATTGTATTTCTGTATTTTAAGACTTTTTATTTATTTAGGTTGCATCTACATAATGGCTAATTATGGCCATAGAGTATAAATGTTACAACTATTGAAATGCTATTAATAGTTTCATTTTTGAGGCTATATAAAGCCTTATATGTTGTATTTATAAGCAGACTTGGAAAATATAGTAAAAGAAGCATTTGTACTTTTTCTTTAGCCAATGACTAAGTTTCTTTGCAATTCTATGTTGTTTAGGTTGCATGTAGAATCATTCAAGCTCGACATGATCAATCTTGCTTGTGGAGTGATTCGAATCTCAAGCAAGTGTTCTTGCCTTGAGATATTTGATCAACAAGAATCATTCAAGCTAGACGTGATCGATCTTGCTTGTGGAGTGATTTAAATCTCAATCAAGCGTTCTTTTTGCCTTGAGATATTCGATCAACAAGGTAATCCGAATATTATTCCCCTTGTAGTGATTTCTTATCTTATCACGTTTAGTAGGGAGAGGTTTCCACACCTTTATAAAGAATGTTTCGTTTCCCTCTCCAACTGATGCTGTATCTCACAATCCGTCCCTTTAGGGTCCAGTGTTCTCGCTAACCCTTGTTGTCATTCCCTTCTCTAATTGACGTGAGATCTCACAATCTATCTCTCTAGAGGCCTCACTCACACGCCGCTCTAAACTCTCTATAGAGTCGTAAGCAAGGAGCTTTGACAGAGATCAGAACCATTTCAAATGTTAGACCTCCAAACGTTGTTGAGTTGATTGGATGCCCTTAGAACACTTTCGATGTGGTTTGGGAAGATGCTACCTCTACCTACCCTTCCCACTTAAAGGACTTCATGAACTTGCAGCTTTGTAGTAAATGTGACACTCTTGCAGCAGCAATGATATTTATAGGATTGATTCTTTCGATGTTTCGGTCATGTTTGTCTGACTGCATGCCCGTTTCAAGTCTTTTTTTTTTTTCGTACTTTCATTTTATATAGGTTTTTATTGTTTCATGTTTGTGTCAATACGGAGGTACGACGTTCACCAAAATCATGTCTATACCCATTAAGACTAAAGGCTCCAAAATATATTAACAAGTGATATGACTAAGTTGTTCTTTATTCATACACGTTATTTAAGTCGCGAGGTTCATTTCTTTACTTATAGCCATATAACGTTGTTTTCTTCAAATTGTTTTCAAATGTATTTCATCACTTACGTTTTCTAAAATATTTTTCGCAAACGTGACTTGAGGTTTGAGCATATGCTGACATTGTCTGCTAAGTCTAAATTTATCACGGCTAGCTTGATCACTATGTTAGAATAAGTGTGACATAATCGTCAACCCACTGTCATAAGAGTGCACTTGTAACATTTTGCAATTGTCTTTATAACTCAAATCGCCCGGAGACGAACAACATTGAAGTGAAGACTTTTGGAGATTATAAAAAGTTGAGTTGAAAATTATACCAATATATAGAATATATATGTATATATGTGTGTATATATATATATATATGTATGTATGTAAATTACGAATTTCAGTTAGATTAAAGAAGACACCATAGTACATTATGAAAGCATTCGTTTATGAAACAGTAGTATAATTGTTCTATAAGTTCACGAGAGGAAATTACGGTATTAGCCTTATCTCACGCCAATGGTAGAAGAGAAGAAAACATCTTTTACATCCGAAATCAGAAGAAACCCTGAAGGCCTGATTCGTTTAATCGTGCTGAAAGAGTTTGGAGACCAAGTCTTGGATTGTTCTCAGCTCCACCAACTCCGTCGGATTTGTGTTTTGCTCCGACCGCTCAAAGCCCTTCGCTTTTCTTCAAATGTTATGCTCGAGAGCTGGAAGATAAGCTAAGCAGCTACCCAATTGTCGCCTAGGATCCAGCGATGATCGTCAGGAAGTACGGCCGCCGGAATCGTGGTCTTCCGAGGTCTTTATCCGACTCCTCTAACGACGCCATTCACGATTCTTTTGGTGACTCTCTGTCTCAGGAAAGTTCTCAGGACCCGCTATTTGGCATCGCTTTCTCGTCACAAGACTCCTCTTCTAGATGGTCCACTTTCGATTCTGAGCCATACGGCACGAATTCCTCACAAGGTTCGTTTTCAGCAAACCCTATAAGATCCTCCTTTGACGATTCGTTGAACGGGGGCAAGAAGAAGTCCAAGAAAGTCAAGATTGAGAAAAGGGAACTAGAGGTGCTTAAGTGTTCGCAGCTGGCGATTTCTTCTACATCGACTTTAATGGAAGCCCAGGAGTTTGGGGAGATGATGGAGCACGTAGATGAGGTGAATTTCGCGTTGGATGGGCTGAGGAAGGGTCAGCAAGTTCGGATCAAAAGGGCAAGTTTGTTGTCCTTGTTATCTATTTGCAGTACCGCGCAGCAACGGCGGCTTCTACGAACTCATGGGTATGTAAAAGTTAATTGCCTTTTGGTTACTCATAGTTATAGGTGAAGATTGAAGACTGGAAAACAGAAAGTTCTTCAAATTCTTAATTTGTTTGTTAATGTATGAGAAATTCATGGTCTTCCTCCCCAATTATTATAATGAAAACTTCTCTTTGATGAAGTATGGATGCCTTAACTCTGCTCATGATAGGTTTTTTTGAACATGATGTGCATAGAAACTGAATATAAAGTTGGTTCTTTTATTTTTGGATATTTTAAATTTTGTCGACAGTAAAGACTCTCACTCTCCATTTTTTAGTGCTCGATTTTGCAAATTTGTATTTGAACTCGAATATATTGTTTTAGGATGGCAAGGACAATAATTGATGCGGTTTTAGGTCTTAGCTTTGATGACTCAGCCAGCAATCTAGCTGCTGCAACTCTTTTTTACATTTTGACGGGTGATGTAAGTGATCTTGCTCTTTAACGTATTGTGTTCTCCTTAGTTATTGAGTTCAACCATTTATGGTGTTTTAAGAGTATGGAGCTGTATGCTGAATTGTATCTAATAATGTTCACTTCTTTTGTATTAAACCCTCTCAAGCAAAGACGCGCGTTATGATGATAATAAGGCTCTCAAATATATTTTCATTTCATAATCTCAGGGTCAAGACGATCACCTTCTCGAATCACCAAATTATGTTAGTTTTTTAATTAAATTGTTGAAACCAATTCTCTCTATGGCTGCTGAAGTGAAAGCACCAAGAATTGGCCATAAACTTTTAGTACTTCGAACGGATTCTGACATCCTACAAAGTACAGCAACAAGATTGGACTCCAGTTCTTCTGCAATTTTGTCAAAAGTTGAAGAAATTCTTGTAAGTTGCAAGGAAATAAAATCAAGAAGCATAGACATTGGCACAGCTGATAGACCAGAGTTGTGTCCTAAATGGATTGCGTTACTGACTATAGAGAAAGCTTGCTTGACTACCATTTCCCTTGAAGGTATACAATCCTCTCGTCTGTCTCATGTTAGAAATTACATCATTTGCTTTTATTATAGTGATCACATATCCGAGGAATTTCAAGCCTTGTAGATGTTAAGTGAAGAAGTTATAAGTCGTTAACCATGATGAATGAAGCTTCCTGGCCAATGGGCTTGAACAGATAGATGGTCAAATAATTATTTAGTCTTTAGATACCATTTATGGATTTCCCTCCTGCCAACATTGGAAGAATTTATTCTTAGATGTTTGACTATGAACGTTCTGTTCGTTAAAAGTTCATTCAATTCCTTATATTTTTGTCAAGTAACACCATGCTTTCTTTTTTAATGATACATGGGGATTGGCTTATTAAAGAATTTCTATGTAGTTTCAGTATTTGACCTAATAACTAATTTTATTTGTTCAACCCGCTTTCTGGATAGCTAAAATTTCTCTCTTTTTTTTTCCCCCAAAAAGTTAGGGATTCAAATCTATAACTTGTATGTTATGTTATCTTTCCACGTGGAGTTACTGCATATGGTTTAAATAGTTCATGCACATTCTTGGCCACTTGGCTAACTTCACAACCATAACGTCTGTTTTTGTTTGCTTCATATGTTAGCCGCATGTTTCACATTCTGAATCTTGCCAATTCAGTGTTCTATATTGCTAATTCTTGTGAATCTCCCATCATCCTCTCAGAAGCATCTGGTGCTGTAAGAAAAAATGGAGGCGACTTCAAGGAAAAATTGCGAGAGCTAGGAGGACTTGACGCTGTCTTTGAGGTTGCCAAGGATTGCCATTCCAATATGGAGGTGTGAGCCTGTATGTTTTTTGGGATCTCATTACTGTTTCGTTATACAAATCTGCAGTAGCTACAACGTGGGGATGGAAATTTAGGGAAGGATCCAGCTTTATTTTTATGGTAAACAGGAAATCATTGGCACTGGGCTTGCTTCTTTGCTGTTTTATGGAGTATTTAGTTAGAGAGAAACCATAAAATTGTTAGAGGGGGAGAGAGGTATCGGGAGGGGTCATGGGAGATCATTAGATTTAATACCTTAGTTTGGGCTTTTGTTTCTAAGGTTTTTTTATAATGGTCATTTAGGCTTCATTCTCTTGGACGAGAGCTCGGTAGTTTGTTGGACGTCTCTTAGTAGTTACCTTGTTTATTCTTTCATTTTTCTCAATGAAAGCATAGTTTCAAAAAATTAATTATGTAAATGAAAAGTACTCTCCCCAACAAAGGTTACAGAAAGATACCCCAATATGAATTGATCACAGTGGGAGAATAATTACAAAAAGAAATTTGAAGTGAATGCCAGCAGAACACCCATATTTAGACAAATTGATATATATTCATCCAATTCCCTTTCTAACCTTAAACTTTAAATGGTAGCTTTAATTGCATTCATTCACAAATATTTCCTCCTTTCTGAATCTATTGGCACAGAAATTGAATTAGTTTTTTCCTTGTTGTTTTATAAATACCGAAGAACACGAAAATCATTGATTGCATAATCGTATTCCAAATTTAGCCTACAAACCTAGAACTGATACCTTTGACTTTCCTCCTCTTTCTTGCAAAGAATAGGAAAAAAAAAATTGAATAATGCTAAGGAAAAGAAAAACAAAGTGTAACTTTATTAATTCTGTTTCAGTGAATCAGTGGTATTCTTTTTACCTTAAAGTTTATGTATATATAGATATCAACAGTGCCATATTTTCTTTTTCGTTATGATTTGTTATTGTTAGGAAATGCTGAACTATGGTTGTCATCTGTAGCTCAGTGTAGTATGGTCTGACATCATTGGTTGGGGCCCATGGTTTAATCAGAAGAGTCACCAAATGATATAGAACTGTTTTTATTTCATTTCAATATGAATAATAGCTACATTTCTTGGTAAACGATGAATTTTAGTCTCTATTTCATACGTTAGAATATCCTTATAATATATGGAATATCAGAAAATTTTGTGGCACATTGTTTCAGGGTTGTGTAAAGCGTATTTCACTGTCTACACAGGATGCAAGATATGAAAACTTTCTGCAGAGCCTGATGCTTCTTTTGAAGTGCTTGAAGATAATGGAAAATGCCACATTCCTCAGTAAAGAAAACCAGGTATGCACAAAAGTGGTCTCTCTCCCCCCATAAAATTAATCAAATACACAGTTCTTAGGACTTCTTTTCAATCTTTTTTGTAATTACATTCATGACAGAGTCATTTGCTTGGAATCAAAAGAAACTTGGAGGGTCAAGGAACACCGCAATCTTTCACGGAAATCATGTTAAATGTCATCAAGATTCTTTCAGGTAACTAACCACACGCGGGTTTTCTTTTCATTTTCATTCATTATGTTGTTTTTCAAAGCCATCTGATGTTGATCAATGCCGCTTCATTGTAGGTCTCTATTTACGCAAAAGTTCTGCTGCTGGTTTAAATAATGAGAAGCTAGCTGATCTCCTTGATGGGTCTCACAAAACTTCCAAATTGCTTGCAGAGGCAGATCATGAACGTAATGGTTTTCCAATTTGTACATGCTGTTTTATTCTTGATGCAGCGTTTCATATTTCATCATTTTCTTTTACATGAATGGTTACTTTTCGTATTTAAAAAAAAATTGATTTCTCTTACATTTGCAGCAAACAGAAAGATAACTCTACCAAGCAGTAATTTAAAGACATGGTGCAACACCAAGGGTACTTTGTCTGACAAGAGCTTCATTATATCCCAGAACATGAGGAGTGCCACGGCTCGATTAGACAATACTCTAACAGCTTCTGGAACTACTAGCACTTCATTGGAAAATTCCAGTTTCTTCAAGATGAGGCAAAGATGCTTCACATCTGGTTCATCCAGTGTGACATCAAGAAGTACTGATGATGGAGCAACTGCATTGAATAATCAGCCAGTGGAGAAAAATAATCATCCCGATCCTTTTGCTTGTGAGCTTAACCTTTCAGAGGACCAGGATCCCTTTGCTTTTGACGAGGGTGATCTCGAACCCTCCAAGTGGGAGTTACTTTCACAGAAAGAGAAGAAATCTCGGGCTAAAAAAGGGGTGGTCAAATTTAGAGATCTCGAGAATGGATCAAAATCTCAGGTGATGACGACTGAGAAAGAATCAATCAGTGGAGAAAGCCATTTCTTCAATGAAATTTCAAGCTTGGCATCCTTTAATGAGGAGGGATTCAACCTAGTAGCTGACTGCCTTCTTACTTCTATCAAGGTTTACTAATATTATTTGCACTTTCTTTAGCATGCTTTACAGATTATTTCTCATTTAGTTTTTGAATGTTAAAGTTTCAGGGTAATTATTGAGTTGAATATCTTCTGTTGGATACCTAATAATCTAATTAACTTCATGAACCATTTGTAACGGTCCAAGCCCACTGCTAGCAGATATTGTCTTCTTTGGGCTTTCCCTTTCGGGCTTCCCCTCAAGGTTTTTAAAACGCGTCTTTCGGAGTTACACAACAAAACCGTTATTCATCCAGATACTATCTTATTTGGGCTTTCCCTTTCGAGCTTCCCCTCAAGGTTTTTGGGCTTCTCTATTACACATCTGCTAGGGAAAGGTTTCCACACCCTTATAAAGGGTATTTTATTCTCCTCCCCAACCAATGTGGGATATCACAGTTATTCTACTCCCAGGATTTGGATGACGTATTAGTAGTTATTTTGTGTTAATATTATAAATATACACCGCTCAATCTATCTTCTATCCGCTCAATCTATCTTCTATTTTCAGGTTTTGATGAACTTGACCAATGATAATCATGTTGGCTGTCAACAAATTGCTTCCTGTGGAGGACTAGAAACTATGTGTTCACTGATTGCCAACCATTTTCCTTCATTCTGCTCCACTTCATCCACCTTAAATGGATTAAAAGGTCATACGTTGAGTCTCGAATTTGAGTCTCAGAACGAGAAGCACCTAACGGATCAAGAGCTTGATTTTCTTGTTGCGATTTTGGGCCTGCTTGTGAACTTGGTGGAGAAGGATGGTCATAACAGGTTAGTGTGCAGCAGTTTGCTGTTTTGATACATATGTTTTTTCACATAAATTCATTGGGTCTCCTTCTCTTTCCTCTTTCTATATTCTTATAAACAAGTTTTCGTTTTTTGAATTTTGCTAAAAATTCAAATCTTATCTTACGAAGATAAAGACCATTGTGAAAAAATTGTGAGAAGAACACAATTTTAAAAAACTAATGGGGCCTAAACCATCGCGCAGATCACGGCTTGCTTCAGCTAGTGTTTTGATACCTAGCGTGCATGGACCAGAAAAGGGTCATAGCAACGTAATTCCTCTAATATGTTCAATCTTTCTGGCCAACCAAGGAGCAAGCGAAGGAGTTGGAGAAGGGGAATCTTTGCCATGGGTTAGTAAAATTTCACTCGAACTTGATGGACCAATTGAGTGCAAGTATTGCAGTGACCTTGGACATATAATAAGGATATGCTCCGAGGTAATAATTTTGATATCATATAATACCAAACTTTACATTTGTGATATTTGAACAGAACGAGGAGGTCGCTCTTCTGGAAGGTGAAAAGGAAGCAGAAAAGATGATCGTTGAGGCTTATTCAGCGCTACTTCTAGCATTTCTTTCAACTGAAAGGTTAGTGTTTTTCTCTTATATTACACAACTAAATTAAGCTTTCTTGTGGATATGTTCAAGGGATTTTGTTTCTTTGTTTTCACAGCCAGGGCATACGCGATGCCATTGTCGACTGTCTTCCAGATCACAGCCTAGCAATTCTTGTGCCAGTTTTGGAGCGATTTGTGGTATGTATTCAGCCATTCCTAATGATCCCAGCATGAAACTCTTATGGGGTTTTCTTGGGATGATGGTTATTTGATTGCATATTCAACCAGTGTGTTTGGACTGAAAAATCTTGTGCAGATAATATTTGTTTGATCTTCTTGTCTCCAGGCGTTTCATTTGACGTTGAACATGATATCTCCGGAGACGCATAAAACCGTAACCGAAGTGATTGAATCATGTAGAACTTCCTGAGAATAAAGAAAGCATGAAGCTCCTGTAAATTCTTCACCTTAGTCGGATTGGTTATCCTTAATTGATACCATAGAAATAGAGAAAATCTGCAACATACAGAAAAAGCCAGAGGGCTTGTCGCTTATGTTGTTGTCTGATTGACCATTGTTCTTTCTTCTTTTTCTTCTTTAAATTTTCAGAGTTCTTTCTCCACCCATTTTGAGCTTTTTTTGGTAGCCTTTCTTCTTCATTTTCTTTCAATACCTCCATTGTAGCTTATGGTAAGAAGATGCTTGTTTGTATACAGAAAACTATAGTGGAATGAAATCATTATTCATTTTCGACTTTATAATTTATAACCCATTTCTTCGTTCTTCAGTATCTATGTGTTGATTTTCGATAAATCTATACAATTTTGAAGTTTTGATCCACCAAATTTCCCCTTTTCGAAAGTGTTGACCGATCGATGTGCGTTGGGCTTTGGTTTTTCAGTTCGTCTTTCGAACTTTTATGTTTTTCAAACCATAAACAAGCAAATTCTTTCTGTTTTTGTCGGCAGGTCTAAGATGAAGAGGAAAAGACGATGTAAAATATTTTAATTTTAGCGGATACGCTAAAAAGCTAAAAGACTACTCGTGTCGGAGCCCAACGGACGTGGGATCTCACAATCTACTCCTTTTAGGACTCAGCGTCTTTGTTGTCACTCCCCTACCAAATCCACCTTCCATTCGAGGCCTAGCGTCCTCCACCCGGTGTGTTTTGTTCTTTTCCCCAACCAACGTGGGATTGATATGTCACTCCCCTGCCAAATCCACCTTCCATTCGAGGCCCATCGTCCTCCACATAGTGTGTTTTGTTCTTTTCCCCAACCGATGTGGGATCTATCAATCCACTCCCTTTAGGGCTCAGTGTTCTCGTTATCACTCGTTCCTTTCTCCAAATGATGTGAGACCCCTACCAAATCCACCCCTCTTCAAGACCCAGTGTCCTCCGCCTGGGGTCTGGCTTTTATACCATTTGTAACGCCCCAAGCTCACGGCTAGCAAATATTGTCCTCTTTGGACTTTCCCTTTCAGGCTTTTCTTCAAAGTTTTTAAAACGCGTCTACTAATGAAAGGTTTCTTGGTTCTCCTCCCCAACGGATGTGTAGGATCTCACGTTAGAAATATAGTAAAACCAATTTCTCTATCCTTTTCCCGAGCCTTACGACTAAGAAAGATGTTCATCTTAAATATTCCATAGGAGAATAGGCCAAATATATCGGGACACGAGTGGAATCCTACATAATTTAAGACCCATGTATTCACATACCAACATCCAATACTCCAAGGGGGAAAAAGTAAGGAAAGAAAAAAGGTGGCCACTCTGCAGCCACACTCCCATCCCCTTCCTTTTCACTACTTTTTGTGTTTCCTCGCAACCACATGCACATTCCCCAAATTCTCCTTTCAAAACTTTTTTCTCATATATATATATATTTATAATTATTCCTACAAAAATATGTAACTGTAAAAAATATTTTAAAATTTTAATAAAATTTATTATAGAGATCCATAAAATTGATACAAATTCCATTTTCACATATTTGCAGGCTCGACTTTCCCTCGGGATCTTCCGCTTCTTCTTCTTCCATTTCCAATGATTGCTTGTTTCCGGCCTTCTTTCTTCCTCCTCCTTCTGCGCCGCCGCCTTCAACCTCTCAAGGAATCTGCTTATTACCATTTTCTCTCATCCCTTACCGCTTCTCTTCTTTCTCTTCTCCTTCTCTTCCTTCTCGCTTTCAATGGCCTTCACGTTTTCTTGAAGACGATTCCTCATTCTTCCCCTTTCTCGCCGGATAAACGATGCTCCAATCTTTCTTCTTCCGTTCTATTTTCCATCGAAGAAAAACACCCACCGGTGATTTTTAAATCAAATTCCTCTGTTTTTCACAACCCCCATGTTAAAATCTGCGCCGATGACTCTGCTGAACTGGCGGCGAAGAGGGTCGGGAAACACAAGCGCCGCCTGAGAAGCCTCCGGCTGGAATCAAGAGAGAACGAATTTTCAGCAAGGATTGAGGAGTTCTTGGCTGCGAATTCATGTAAGCTTAGATTTTTCATGATTTGGATTTCACCATTGAATTCGTTTAGCGACAGAGAATTCTGGGCAATACAGAGTATATTCAAGGCTCATGAAAATGGAAATCCGTGTTTGACCATTGTCTCGAATTCCCTCGATTCCACAAAAGGGAAACAAATTCTCAGCCCATTTTCGAAAAAAGGGTTCCCTTTGATCGCAATTTCTCCGGATTTCGATTCAATTTTCAGAAACACCCAAGCAGAGCCATGGTTCAATCAACTCCGGCAAGGAACCATAAAACCCGGCGAAATTTCTTTAGCTCAAAACCTCTCAAACTTGCTCCGATTGGCTCTGCTATACAAATTCGGCGGCATTTACCTCGACGCCGACGTGATAATTCTAAAGAACTTCACAAATCTCCGAAACGTAATTGGGGCTCAAACCATCGATTTGAAAACCGGAAATTGGAGCAGATTGAACAACGCAGTGATGATCTTCGACAAAAATCACCCACTTCTCCTTCAATTCATCCAAGAATTCGCCACAACTTTCGACGGAAACAAATGGGGTCACAACGGACCGTATTTAGTATCAAGAGTGGTGTCGAGATTGAACCAAAATCCTGGGTTTAATTTGACTGTTCTTCCTCCGTCGGCGTTTTACCCTGTTGTTTGGAGCAGAATCAGGGCTCTGTTCCAGAGTCCAAAAGATGCAGCTCATTTGAAATGGGTAAAGGCGAAACTGAAACACATTGAATCCCATAGCTTGGCTCTGCATTTGTGGAACAGCCATAGCCGAAAGCTTCAAGTTGAGAAGGGAAGCGTTGTTGATATTATAGTAACAATGAAACCGTAAATTATATTAGTTGTTTAAAGATATCATCACAGATTTAGAACAGTCCTTAATTTTCTGGAAAATGTTTTTGTACTTTGTTTCTGAAAGATGTAAGGAATTTAGACATCAAATTTTACTGTCGGACATTGAATGTCACAGAGGAATTAAAATTGAAAGCGAAGTCTCATTCTCCGGTCACCTACCTCCGTCGTTGTGTATTTATAGCTTATTAATTACATTATCTCCCGATATTTTTATAAACTCAACCTAACTCAGTTCTATTCTAAACAATAATTAAATTAAATTTTATGACAATTTAATTTCCCACTTTAATATTATTATAACATTTAGTCGAGAAAATATTACTAAAATTTCATATGTCCAAATATTTAAATATTCAAATCATAATGGTTATCAATATGACGAATTGATATATTATAATTTAATAATAATGTTATGGATAAGAATTTAAATTGAGTTCACAGATAACGAGTATACAACTTGGTATACCAATTATATAATTATTGAGTGTATAAAATGACTGATATATGGATATAAAAGTATATCATATAACTGTTAAAATACCAATAATATAATATAAAGTATATCATATATATACCAATAAAATTATAATTTGATTGTTTTATTGATATATTTGTAAATCTAAAATACCATGCTGGATTTGCGAATAGTGTCATTGCAACGGATTACAAATTTTATTTTCAAAATTCAGGCCCAAGTCAAATTTGTTGGGCCCGTCGATCCTTCGGATAGGACGAACACAAAAAGCCCACTAGGCCCAAATTATGAAATGGATGCATTCCAACTTTCTCTGGAAGATTACTAAATGGGAATGGCCAGTAAAAATAATTTACCAAAAATTATGGTGAAAAAAAGGTTTATAAGAATTTACTGCCCACGTAGAAATTCTAAAGTTAAATAATTTGATGTCGAGCGATTATTGTTGAATTTTTTTCTACGAAATATGTGAACGAGGACAAAATGTTCTAAAATGACATGTATAGCCCTCTACTCTTCATTATAACCGTTCAACATTATTAAGCAGTCTTTAATATGTTGAGTTAAGAACTGTACGGAAATTTTGAAAAATAATGTTGATTCAATAATAATAATCTAAGAATCTATCCGGACTATAATTTATTTAATAAACTAATAATCTCTACTTTTGATCGTAATTATTCAACATTATTACTTAACTTTAAGTAATGTAGTTAATAGTTCTATAATTTTTTTTTAGGGTTGACGTTGTGAAATTTATTTTTTATATCGCGGTATTACAAAAATACATTACTCTATTAAAAAAAAAAAAAAACTAGCATGGTATTAAATGTAAACTTCTTTGGATAAGATGTTACTCGGATTTAAACAATCACACTAATTTTTTTTATTAGTATGTTTTGTGTTCAACCTGTATTTTTTTTTTAAAGAAAATTGATGAGAGATCACAGAACAGAACATAAAATTATTTAAAGTCAAGCTCATTGAACTTTACTGGTATAAATAGTAACTATTAATTCTTTTATATATATTTTTTAACTGTCTCACCACTTTTAAGAGTAATGTTATGAATCTATTTTTCATTAATTTGAGGGTGATTTTGAAGTAAGATTTAGGTTACTTGGTCTTGATTATTTCTATTTAAATATATATATATATATATATGTTTTCTCTAACTACACGTATTTAGTAAGTTTGAATCTAGAAAAGTTGGTTGCTTTAATATATATCAAGGCACATTCACCAAATCTACGTGGACACCAAATTAAAAAGTTAAAATACAACTAAATAAGTATAAAACTTTGAGGAAACTTATAATTAAAACATTATTCAAAAGTCAAAGTAGGTAAAAATAATACAAAGTTTTAGTTCATACTATTGAGATAGATTCTTTTTGGGTTATAAATAATACGCATAAGATTGGGATTTGAAACAAACCATATTTGGTTTAACAATCAAGCAATGGCTTCGCTATCACCACCAGCTCTTTCCACCACCACATTTCGCCCATCATCCAGCCTTAGAACATCAAAATACCTTCCCAATAACGCTGCTCGAATTTTGTGTAGCGCCGCCGATGGCAATATTGATAGAAGAGACGTTCTTATTGGCATAGGCGCAGGCGGTCTCTACGGAGCTTCCGCCTTTGCCCTTGGCGCTCCAGTCCAAACTCCCAACATTAGCAAGTGTGGCCCACCAGACCTGCCACCTGACGCTGACCCAACGAACTGCTGCCCGCCGCCGTCCCCCTCGATCGTCGACTTCCGACCACCGGCACCGGGAAAATTACGGGTCAGGCCAGCTGCCCATTTGGTCGATCAAAGCTACATAGACAAATATAAGAGGGCCGTGGAGCTAATGAAAGGGCTGCCCGAGGATGACCCACGTAGCTTCATGCAACAAGCGAACGTTCACTGTGCTTATTGTAACGGAGGGTACGACC